TTTATCAGTGAGATTTTTTTTCTTTTCAATAAGTTTATTGTTTATTTTAAAAATTGTTTATCCATAAAATTTGTTTATTCATGTTGTATTCCAACTGTAGCTCCCTTCCTTGTCCCCTCCCAATCTCACCCTCCTCTCTCTCCCCCTCCCAGGCCCCTCCTCCAAGAATTTCTAAGGTGGGTGGTACTGACCTGTATTAGTTACTTTTTTATTGCTGTGTTAAAAATTCAAGGCTACTTAGGGAAGAAACTTATGGTGTCAGTGGGATAGGTCCATCATAACAGAGAGGCATGGGCAAGTGGCAGGCAGCAGGCTTGGTGGCTGGAGCAAAAGCCAAGCCTCACATCTTGGACCTCAAGCAGGGAGCTGGGAGAGGGAACAGGGAGTAAAGGGAGGTTTTACGTTCTTGAAGCCAGCCCCCAGTGCCTGAGACAACAGGAGGAGGGACATTGCTCATTCAGCCCAACACATGTCCAAATAGACTCTGTTTCTGGATGCCTAGTAATAAATTCTAATAGAAAATCCTTATAGTCTAGTGTGTAGAAGGTTTAATAAAAGAATTTATTTGAAAAAAATGGGCTTTTAACAGATGGATCATATATGTACATGTATATACATACAAATATGCACATATGTTACATAAGTGTTTGTGTGTATGTTGACGGCTTGTATGCACATGAGGAGGGCAGAGGTCAACCTCAGGTGTCATTTCTTGGGTCTGACCACCTTGTGTTTTGAGGAAGGGTCTTCATTCAACTAGGCTGGCTGGCCATGAAGCCCAAGGATCTTCTTGTCTACCTCCCCACTGCAAAGATTAGAAATGTGTGCCGCAGCTCTTGGCTTTCTGTGTGGGTTTTGGGGATCAAACTCAGGTCTTCCTGGTCATGGAGTGAGTGCTGCTCACTGGCCCAGCAGCCTCTCAGTTGTCACTCTAACCTTTTCCTGTGTGTTCACACAAGAAAGTCACTAGGAATAAGCCACCTGCTGCTAAAATAGACTTTTGTTTGCAGTGCCTCCAGCCATACTTTGGAGCCTCGGTGCCAGGCTGAGCAGCATGTTGCCCTACCCAAGAGTGTGGAGGCCTGTCCACGTGTCAATACTGTCTGACTCAGAGTAACTAAAATCAAGCAGTGGATTAAGCACAGTCTGTTTGTTCAGAACAGGACGGTAAAGGGGGCGGTAGATATTTGTTTATCTTTTGACAAACGTATGGCTTCGGAGGCCCACTGTGTTTTCATTCTGTGGACGCACCAAATAGCCCTTCTTGGAAATGATCAGGGGGAGCTCAAAGAGGCAGAAAGGCTCTGGTCAGCATAAACTTCTAAGCTAGCAATTCTCAAGACAGCACGGATCTGTTTTCTAGTGTCGGCCATGGTCAGGAGCCTGTGTTGTGGCATTTGGAAGAGGAATTAGGGAAGTTAGCTAATTGTACACTTGCAAACGACAAAGCCGCTTGAACACGCAAAAGTCAGACATTGATCCAAGAAGAAAGTGGTGTCCCTTTGAACTCCAAGGTGGTTATTTTATACTGAATTTCAAGTATCCTAATAAACATGGAAAATTTTTCTTCCACCCCAACTTTATCTTGGGTATTCTACTATTCTTGATGCCTCCTTTGAAGTGTTTTTGATTGGAAAGATGGAGAGACTAGGTTATGTTCACTATACTAACTCAATGAATAGTCTTACTTTGATATTTTCCTTTCTCTCCCTTCCCTCTCCCCCTTTCCTTCCCTTCCTCATCCCTTTTCCCTCCCTCCCTCCCTCTCTTCCCCCTTCTCTCTCTCCCTTTTATTCCTTTTTCCCCTCCTCCCTTTCATCCCCTCCTTCCTCCTTCCCTCCCTCTCACCATTATTCCTTTTTTTATTTTTTTCCCCTTTCTTTTTATATAGAGTTTTACTGTGTGCAGTAGGCTGTCCTAAAAGTCCCTCTGTAGCCCAGGCTGGCCTTAACTGTAATCCTCCTGCTTCAGCCTTCTGAGTACTGGAATTCAGGCATCATTACCATGGCTGGCTGCTGTAGAAGTCCTTTTCATTACAGCTCTGTAGGTGGCAAGTTTTCCATTCTAATCCGGGGTTATAAGTCAAGAAGTAGCCTCCTGGAAAGTTGGGCAGCAGCCTCTGAGGTTTGAAAAATACTGAAACACTTTCTCACCAATCAACTAGTGTGACTTTCCCCACTTTAAAAAAGTATAGATTAAAAGAAGAGAGAAAGTTCTGCAAACCATTCTGGAGGAAAAAAATGTCCTGTTTCAAGGTTGCTTTTAGTTAAAGCTTCGAAGCCTAGGGTTGAGGATGTAGCCAGGAGGGAGAGTGCTTGCCTAGTCTCTGCAAGCTCCTGGATTCTCTCTCTTCAATGTCACAATGAGGAGGACAACAGAAAAGAGGAACTTTTAAATCGTTTAGACCAACTGAGAAAAGGAAATTATTCTATTACACAGTAATTAGGGGCCCAAACACCAGAGCTGCCACAGAGATAATTGGTTGTTACAAGAACACATTATTTCAACATTTCAAGAGCAATATATTTTTCTTGGCTAATCATTTCCTTAGTTCTGCTATTGAGTAAAAAGTTAGTCATGGGAAGGTGGGCCATAAGAGTATTTTAGACTTGATATATTTTAAACATTTTTATTCCTTCCCTCCCTCTCCTCCCTTCCTTCCTCCCTCCTTCCCTGTCTCTTTTTCTCCCTCTCTTTCTTTTGTGTGTGCTGGTTGTATGCTGTCATGGGGCATATATGGAAGTCAGAGGGTAACTTGTGGGAGTCCTTTCTTTCCTGTTCCGTGGGTAACAAGAATCAAACTCAGAATTTCCAGTTTTGGCAGCAAGTCCTTCCCAGTTGAACCATCTTCCTAAGTTTAAGTGTTTAACCATTGGTGAAGAATGTCTAGGTTTCGATTGGCTTTGAACACTAGCTGGATATTTAGAACTTCTGTGTAATTAAAAAAAAAATTGGATCTATGAACAAGAAAGGCAACAATGTCCTCAGAGAATATTTCTTCTGTGCTTATTTCCAAGATGAACTAATACTTGGAAGTAAGACAACCTTTTGTTTCTAGGAAGACAGAAGAGAGAGGAAGGAGATAGTCATGATGAAAACATAATCAAATATTCTTTGAACCACCTGGAGATGATTCTTACAATGGAACTCCATTTTAGAGAATGGTATAGGAAATTTAATAGAAAAAGGTCCACCCAATAACACACAATAACTCTGAGGTCTGTACCAATGGCATTTTAAACTGGATTGTCTTTGTTGTGGAAATCAGTCAGGCTTGCACTTTGAAGGGTGCTTAGCAACAGCCTTGGCCTCTGTCAGATACTAGCAACAACACTGCCGACTAGTTGTGACAACCAAAGATGCCTCCAGACATTGAGAAATGTCCTGTGGGGTGGAGGTGCAGCATCACCGCCATTGGGGAACACCAACATCGACTCGAAGGATGTAGGCAGTTGCAAACCCAAGAGTGGTTTAAGAGTTCATTTATTTCACCCAGACACACATTCTCCTATCAGTCCCATGCTGACAGTTGATAATTCTTCTTTCTAATGCACTGTTATTTTTATCCCCAGTTGAGATGAACTTTCTCTCACGGGTTGTCTGGTCCCTGAGGTCACTAGGTCCTAGGTCTGCCCTCACTTCCAGGCTGAAACGTCTGTCCTCACCTCTACCTGTAGCCTGTCTCAGGTTCCCTGGCTTCTACCCACAGCGTAGCCTGGAATAAACTGGTAGGCTGCTTTTAAGTTGTTTTGGTTCAAAGGCTTCCTCTCCTTTTAATTTTTAAAGAAAATTTCATTTTGCTTAAAACTGTTGTTCGAAGTCTCCCAATGACGTCACTCTCCCACGGTTTTGGGTTTTTCACTTTGCATCATGTATGATGATTAGCTTCTGTGGGTGTGTCGGAACTCCTGTCACATGTGCAAGATCTCACTTGCTCAAAAGGACCTATCAGCACAAAGCCCAGGAAGCTAATAGGCTGTCACCTTATCAGTCTTTAGCTTTATTGACAACTTTCTTTTCATTCATGAATGATTTCATGGCCCGGTGGCCTCAGGAAGCTGTAGATTGTTTTGCACGTTACAGTTTTCAAGGCCATCCTTTTCTCCTTTCTATAACCTGGAACGCTAACGCCAAGGAAACTCTTTTCTTTTTCCATTTTAGACCCAGGGGTGGAAAGAGAATAGGGGTGGGTTGAGGACAAGGGTGCCGGGTGGGTCTCTTTCATGTTGCAGTTTTCTGAGGATTGCCTGTGGTATCAACTGTTATTAACTGTCTGGGTATTCAGAGAACTGAGTGGCCACTAGGCAGTAGTGCATGACCACAAAACTATTTCTAAGAATAATTGCTAATTTGCTGACTGAATGTGCTTTCCTTTTTTGTCCACTAAGACACAGTGAATGAGTTAGCAGGGCCTTAGCAAAATATAGGTTTGTGGGTTCTGTCTCAGGCAGGTTTGGGTAGGAACATATAAAAGCAAATTATATATGAAAGGGAACCACAAACAGGGGAGGCCGTGCAGCTGAAGGCAGTGAAGAGTATTAGCTGTCCTGCAAGGAGCATTTGCTGATTTCTTTTCCAGGAGGTGGGATGAAAAGCTACCCCGAAGGAAAGTACATACAGGTTTTGAAATGCAGTGGCGATAGGTGCGAAAATTAGAGTGAATGTTATCCGTGTCATAGTGAAGGAATCTCTCTGTGTGTCTCTCTGTCTCTCTCTCCTCTCTCTTCTCTGTCTCTTTCCACACTACATGCTACACACACACACACACACACACACACACACACACACACTTACTCATGTTAAAACAAGCCCAATGTGGTTTATGTGGTTTAAAACATAATCTGTAAGAGTTTATAATTTACACTAGAAGTCAAGAGAGGAGGCCTGTTTTCTTCGCATTAAAAAATTAGTTATGATCAGTTTTACACTGGTTCTAAAATCCTAACAGTGAAAAATGGTGTATAGATTTCTAATGTGGTTATTTTTTTTTTCCCTTTAAGCTTGAAGAAAAATTCCAAAGAACGGCCCACGTATCCAGAGCTTATGGTGAGTACGCTTGGGTGTGTGTTACCAAACTTACAGCTTCTGAAGCCGTCACGACTATGATGAGTGAACAACCGTGTAGGAAGAGTTGATCCATTGTGATATAGTTGATTTCCAGGAATTGGACACAAGGCAGAGTCAAGGCCTCCTCCTCACTGTTACTCATTCTTTAAAATATTTTATCTATTTTATGTGCATGTGTTTGTAAACACCTGTGGGTATACAGGTGTTGAAGGGCACCTGTAGAGAGGAGAGGACAACTTGCTAGAGTCAGTTCTTTTCTTCCACCATATGGCTCCTGGGGATTGATCTCAGGTTAATAATTTCACATGAAATGTGTAGGATCCCATGGGACTTGGAATCCCAAAGTCTCTTTTTATCACTAATTTCTAATACAAGAATATTTTCTCTGTAGTTCAGCTATTTACAATGCAAACCCCCCCCCCTTTAAAAAAAAAAAAAAGAAAACTAAGTAGCTTCTTATCAAAAATTTCATCAGAAAACATTTGAGGAAAAGAAAAACAAGTTTCCTATACTTTGGCATCTGGTGTTGACATGTGCCTTCCCGCTACAATCTAGCTAACACTGAGGGGGGTTTTTGGCATGTCTATTAATGTTGAAAGATTGTGTGGGCAGCCCTCCCCCCTTTAAGGCATTAGTCTTTGTGGTCCTGGAAATGGACATGCCTTTTAAGACCGTAACTATTCCCTGCTTTCCTGTGGAATTGAGGTTTTCAAATGGAAACTCTGAGTCGGAACTCCGACTTCAGCACTGGGCAACACGGGCTAGTAGGCTATTGTTTTAATTTTAGGAATTTGTGAAGAGGTAGGAAGAGAAAAAAAAAAAGACCGTTTTTTTTTCCAAATAAAGGAATATTGTTATCAAGGCTCCAACCCAAACATATACTTCTTACAGAATCCCTAATACTTTTCACCCTAATTCAGATTGCGAGCTATAGATTCCTCCAGCCTATTTGATTTGCATATTTTCTTAAGCTTCTGCTTTGTAGTGTTCATCCTCCTCCTCCTCTTCCTCCTTCTCTTTTTGGTTTTTTGAGGCAAGGTTTCTCTGTGTAGCCTTGGCTGTCTTCAACTGTCTCTGTAGACCAGGCTGGCCTGAAATTCACAGAGATCGGCCTGCCTCTGCCTCCTGAGTGCTGGGATTAAAGGTGTGCACCATTACCACCCAGCTAGCAGTTTTCTTCTACAACAGATGTTAACCAACTCTTTTTTTTTTTAAATAAAGGTCTAGATAGTATTTTTGGTTAATGAGGTATGTAATTGCTATTAAATGAACTAAGCTGAAAATAACCATATTATATATAGGAAAACAACAACAACAACAAGAAAGCACATGGCTGTGTTCCAATCAAACTTTATTTAAGAGTCAGACAACTATATTAGTAACTTTTTTATTTCTGTGGTAAAACACTATGACCAAGTCAACCTAGAGAAAGAAGGGTTTATTTGGCCGTATAGTTCCAGAAGCTTAGAGCCCTTGCTTGCGGAGCACAGGGGTGGTGGCGGGAGTGGTACTCTGAAGGCTCCCATCTTGAACTTCACGAAGGAAGCAGAGACAGCCAACTGCTAAGGGCATGAGTCTTTCAAACTTCCAAGGTGTTCCCACTGACACACTTCCTCTAGCAAGGTCACACCTCCCAAACATATCCAAAGAGCGCCACCATCTTGGGACCAATTATTCAAACATCTGAGCCTATGGGGGGCATTTCTCATTTCTCATTCAAACCACCACAGACAAGGGTTAGTTTTGAACTGTGAATTCTAGATTGATGACCCCTGCCTTCAGATATTTACCATAGGAAATAGTAACCAGGTTGTTTAGGTGATTTCCCAGTGAAGCGATTTTCAGCCATTCTTCAAATATCCAAGAAAGTTCTAGATTTGAATTGCAGTGTGAGACAAGGGTAGCTGAACCCACAGTCTTGGAGGCTGAGGTGTATATGTGGGATGTTTTGGAGGCCTATTAGTGATTGTGACTTGTCTCTCTGCTTCCTGGTAGCTTGTCCGTCAATCTCCATGCTTCTTTTTTTGACACCGTAGGAATCTTAAGTGGTACAGAGTCCTCCTTCTTCAGACTTAGCACTTTTTGGGGGGAGAAACTTGAACTGGAGCTGTACCCTGATTGTTTGTGGGACCCCATTTGCCCACCTCCACACTGCTATTCTTTCTATTTTTTACTCCATTCATTGCTTGCAGATGGAATTGAGTTCTCAACACCCTCAACCTCAATATTCCACACAAGGCTAGTGACACCTTCCATGTTGATTGGCTTGACTACTTGCTTTCTCGTCCCTTGCCCTTTGACCCTCACAGTATTTTCTTAATCTGGGATAAATCGAAAGATACCTAAAAATTTTGTTTTTAATTAAAGATTTCAGATCATAATATTTAACTCATTCATGGGCTAGAACTCCAAGTGCTGAGCTAGTGACAGCAGAATAAGAGTCAAGGTGGGCCTGGTAGGCATTGGACTCTTTCATCCAGACAATCTGAGCTCAGGCATGTCCTGTTTTGATAGTAAAAAAGCTTTTTAAGCACATTGAAAGATCCCCAAACGTCAAGAGGACGTGGGGAAGTTAGTAAGTTGATGGTTAAAATAAAACAACAGAAACAAAACCTTGGTAAGTGTGCCATGTAAGCGGTCGGTAATGGAAACGGGCATCACGGTTTGGCAGATGGAGGAACTGAGAATGAAGGGCCCTGAATCAAGCTTCACTTCGGGTATAAGGTTCAGAGCCAGCACTCAACCAATATCCTCTAATGGGCAAAAACAGAAGATCTTTCCATGGTCTGAGTCACAGTGCTCAACAGTGACCACCCACTTTCTTTTGGGTTTTTATTTCTTTGTTCCTTCCCCTTTGCATTGTTTCCTAAAACTTGCATGGGTGGGCATTCAGTTCCCCACAAAGCTGACTCATCCAGCCCTCTACTGTCAGGTTTCAAACAAGTATAATTAGAAAGCCTACTGGTAGGTTGCAAACTGAACCCCTCATCAGGGAAACAGTGAGTCATCTCATGTCTGCATGAGAAACACTCACGTGGAGCCATTTGAACTAGCCACTGAAAGTAGTGCCACCAGGCAGCCAGAGACTTGGGCGTGGTAGGTGAGGTAGAGAGGTGTGTGGTGTGGGGACCTGAAGGAGTTGTCCTTTTGAGGTTTTGCTTGGTTTCTGTTCCCACTGGAAGAGCCGAGGAACATGGGCTAATGTTTCTCTCTCTAACTGGAGACTGAAGGCTCTGTAGTCTAACACTTATAACCCATGTTGTGTTACTCAGAAAGATGGCTTGGTCATTCGACTGCCATTAAAATATGTGGGCTCTTGCGTCACACCTCACCTTTTCTCCACAAAGCGTAAGACTTGACCTTGTACTTTTTTCTGTTCAAGCTGACTTAATACAACCTATACACAAAGTTTATATTCTTCTTTTCAGTCTTTAATCTCTGAGTTGAATTTTCTTTGAACACACCAGTAGTCTGACAGTATGTGTTATTCTGTGAATAGATCAAACTCTTTAGGACTGATGTAGTGTAACGCTAGCTGTGGTTGTGGCCTTAGAAAATGGCCTTAGCTGTTTTAGTTCAAACCAGTTTTCCAGTGTCAAGGGCACGGATGCCACCTTTGCTCATTTACTGTTCAGCAACATTGGTATCTTGTTCTCTCACCCTGCTCCTAGTCCCATGAAGTGGAAGAACCTACATCTATGAAGTTTAAATTATTTTACTATTGCATATGTGTAAAATTATTTTGTAGAGATGGTCTTAGCCAATCTTTGTATTTCTGTATAGATGGTATTGTGTAGCATACTTGGCATATGTTATTTAAACTAATAGACTCTTTGTATTGAAAACTTAGAATACCAAAATGGGAGGCAACAAAGAGATATGAATTACGCCCATCGGCAGATGTGTGCTTGATTTTCACAAAAGATTTGAAAAAATCCAGTTTGCCTCCATAGAGATATTAACCCATTTATTAAACAAATAGATCAATTTGCTAATTTTGTACATTATCAATATCAAGTATTAATGTCATGTATTTTTCTTTTCTTTCCCAGCAACATCCATTTTTCACCCTACATGAATCCAAAGCAACAGACGTGGCATCTTTTGTAAAACTGATACTTGGGGACTAAAAAATCATGGACTTAACTGGTTGACCCTACTGTGGATTGGTGGGTTTACAGGGTTAAGTGAGTTCACCACAGCGCCAACAGAAAGTCATCTTGAGATCATTGAACCCTGCCTTTTTGAGAGTTTTCTCTCCCTATTTTTTTTTTCTTTTCCCTTTCCAAAGGGGGCCTTGGAATCTCTAGTATAGAATGAACTTTCTAGATGGATTAAATATGATAAAGGCTTAGGACTTGAAAAGGTGATTAGATATTTAATCAGACAAGTCCTCAAGCTTCTCAGATTTCTCGTGTTCTTCACAAAATGAACGCATTGGCCCTGGTAACAAAGGTGCTACAGTAGTGATGAAATTGTGAAGTAGATTTGTAGTGTTTCCCATTTATTATTTTAATATTTATGTTTCAGTGCTTGGTTGGAAATATTCCATTTTATGCAAGAAGGGAGATACAGAGACAAGGCTCACTTGGCAGTATTTATAGGGCTTTTATTTTTTAAGTTCAATCATGTCTGTGGTCCAGAGAAAGTTATTTAATATGCATTGTAAGAATATTATAAAAATCTCAATAGAAGGGGCTCTTCCCGGGCGGCGTGGCTTGCAGCTCTCCCAGCTGCTGCTCCTGACCTTCACCTCAATCTTGGGTAATCACTAGCATCTTCTGAGTGAATTGTCAGAGTATCTTGATCATACCGCCCCCCCACCTTCCAACTTTGGAAAACATGAAAGTCACTTGTATTATGACTCAAAGAGTTTAAAAACAACAACAACAACAATGGTTCTCTTCAAATTTGTGGAATAGTTTTAGTGGAAAATGAAAACAATGAAAAGTGATGTGCTTTTATATTTACTTATGCTTTTCTCTGTGTATGTGTTTGTATGTGTGTGTGTGTGTGTGTGTGTGTGTGTGTGTACACCTGTTAAACCAAGTCCTACCAAGTGGCTTCCAGGAACACTTATGTTAGTTAGAAGGACACCTGTCAGTCATGACAGGATACAGGAACTCACAGAGAGAAGAGAAATGGCGCTTTCAGCCCTCATGCCTCCTCAATGGATCTGCCCCAAGGCCCGCCTTTGTAGTTCATGAACTGTCCTGCTTTGCTTGTCTGTTCTCGAGGAAGAAGACTTATGAGAAGGGTTGAGATAGGAGAAGATAAAAAGCAGCAGTCTTTCGATGAAGTGAAATTTTAACGTGGACTCCTGCCTCGGAAAAGACTACCAAGTTGTCACAGGCTCAGGCCATGCCACGTATTTCTACAGCATCATGGAAGTAGCTAGCTCCACTTTCAAGTTTCTTGCCTGTCGACTAAATTCTTGTGATTAAAGATGCCATGAGTTCTTCAGTTTAAGCTTATGTGGTTCTCTAGGATTAAGACATTTTATGAGTGTTGGGGAAAAGATAGACTTTTGCTAAATAATGAGGAACAGTTGCTTTGGTGCAGGGTTAATACAAGGCAGTTACTATTAGAATACCGAGACCAAGAACAATTGCTTTGGGACAGTTTTAATACAAGGCAGTTACTATGGGAATACCAGCACTGCGTGTTGATAAAAAAATGGAAGAATGAAAAATACGTCTTTTTTCACCCCTTTCCTGACCTCTCAGAATTGTTCTTTCCATCCCCTCTAGATTTTGAAGCACAAACATTTCAGTTTTTACTGCGTTATTTGCATCCTCAGGACTCTTGCACAGGACACTGGCTTAGACTGTGTCTGACACCTCAACATCTCCTTCATTTTCTGTTTGAAGGGATACCCATTGGCAGGGCTGAGGAGGGCTATCGGTAAAGCACTTGCCTCTCAAGTGTGAGGCTCTGCATTCAGCCCCCTGGAGCCCACACCCAAAGTGCCCAAAGGCAATGTGGCACAGGCCTGTGATCTCGAGGATGGTGAGATAACAGGCTGAGGCAGGACAGTCTTGGGAAGCCTACGAATCAGTTAGCCTGGCCACCGTGCTGGAATCCCAAGCCAGTGGGAGACCATCTCCAGCAACATTTGAAATGCACCCGAGGACAGATAACTGAGGCCGTTCTCTGACCTTCACAAGTGTGCTCCACGTGGTACACTCTCTCCATCCTCCCAAATGCTCACCCCATTCCTGCTTGATTAAGCATGGCTTCATCTCCTCTAAAGACACATCCGTTTTATTAATTTCTCACCAGAAAAGTGGTATTATCCTCGTGATCGTGTCCGTTCAATTTCCCACCCACCGTTCTACATCTAAAAGTTTCCCTCTTTGACATAGAGAGAACTCACATATGCCTTCCTGCCCTGTTTACTCATCTTATAAGAATGGGAAGGAATGTGGGGAAAGCCTGGGGAGCCATCTTGGAGCCATCTTACAACGTCTAGCAAAACTCCTGAGGTAAATCATCTCTCTGCTCTGGATCTGATTGTTCTTACTCAGTTGCCTGCTTTGAAACACATCTAACAAAGAACTTGTTTTTTACTATGTGCCTCTGTGGTCTGGCCTGTGAGCCCTGAGCAGGAACCTGTAAAACACCACAGTGCAAAGAACAGCTAGTTCAAACCTGATGTACTTTGGAACCATTAAGGAGCCTGTGTGAGTGCCAAAGTCCTGGCCCTAGAAACTTGGAAATAATTGATATAGGTAGAGCCTTGGATTTAGTACATTGAAGAAGGTGGGGGGGAGGGAGGTCATGTGTTTCCAATACACAGCAGAGTTGAGGGCGCTGATCAACTCTTCCCTGAAATGGAGGAGAGTATGTATGGTAGTCAAAATGGATTGTTTCTAGTCCTTGCCCATCTTCTAAACCTAGTAAGAATTTGCACATGCCATTCCAAAGCTTCCTTATATTTACGGTGCAGTGGAGGATTGTCTCAGTAACTCCTCTTTCTTCCATTTGATGCTATACTCCAAGGCATTGAATACTTCAGCATATCAAACATTTAGGCCCAAGCTGCTTCACAGTACTCTTCTGAATGTCACTCAGATGTCAGTATTTCTCCTGGAAATTCATAATATATTGCCATGCCTATGAGTTATTTCACACAAGGCTTGTGGACACTGGGCACATGCAATGCTGAAATTTGCTCAGTCCTTGGCCAGTTGAGTTGCAAAGCTGAGTTCTTGGTCACAGTATGAGGCCCCTGTACTGTTTCATGATCTATGTTGTTGATAGTTTGGTTTTGCCTGCCTCCTTAATTATGGAATTAAAGGTTGAAACCATTCTTTGGTGTTCGTCGGTTATGCGCTGCCAGATGCCATGGTGTAGGAATGAAACAGATGGAGCTGGGGAAGCGGCTCAGTAGGTGAAATGTCTGCTGAGCCAGCATGGGGCCTTGAGTTCAGATCCCAGGTATTCATGTAAAAGCCAGATGTGGTAGCTTGCGTCTGTAACCCCGGTGTGGGGGCAGGGTGAAGAAGAAGCGGGCACCCAGGCAGATCCCTGAAACTCATTGGTCAGCCAGTCTAGCCAAATCTGTTAGCTTCAGGTTCAGAGAAGGATCTTGCTGAAAAAAAAAAAAAAAAACAAAGTTGGGGAGAGGTTGAAGCGAGGCCCCTCACACTGACCTTTAATCTCTGCATACTCACGAACATGTGCACTCGCACGCACATTTTCATGCACCCACACCAAGTATGTACAATACACAGCACATATACATATCACGAACACAGAAGATCTAGTCTCTTATATAACCACAAAGGAAGTAGAGACTGGCTAAGACGCCATGGTTTAACCCCCAAATGTTTTAACTAACCACGAGGTTTCGCTACCTCTGCTCAGAGGAATCTCTTCCAAGACTGTTAAGGAAGAACATGATTTTTGTCCTAAAAGTGCAACAGATATCTAGTTCTTAATTCCTATTAATGTTTTTTTTGAAGGTGGGGAGAGTTGTTACTTTCTCTGACCTTGAAAATAATAAGATTTGTGTATTCACACAGTTCATCAGAGTTGATGTTCTTGCTAGTGAAGTGAAGAGAATTGCTATCACACCACGCTGGGATTTTGTCAGAAATGACAGTTGGATAAATGTTATCTTCATGGACTTTTTTTTTTTTTAATTTTAACTTTTCAAAAGGAAGGACCACTTTTCAATCAGGTCATTGGGGTAAAAAAAAAAAAAAATGCCAGAATGAATCTCTGAAGAAACAGTTACCAAACAAGGTGATTGGACAAGACATTTCATTCTGGGGATGTCATGGTCCTCTTTCCTGGGACCTCTATAAATAGTCTTTGGTTTTCTTTTCTTTTCTTTTCTTCCTTCCTTTCTTCTTTCTTTTTTTTTCTTTTGTTTGAGACACGGTTTCTATGGGTAGCCCTGGCTGTCCTGAAACTCACTCTATAGATCAGGCTGGCTTTGCTCCCATAGAGATCCACCTGCTTCTGCCTCCTGAGTGCTGGAATTAAAGATGTTTGCCGTCATTGCCTGGCAGGTTTTTTTTTTTTTTATGGCCTTTATTGGTTAAATTATAACTCTCTTGGAAATATGTTAAAAACTAGACCCTTTTCTCTAGGGCAATATATGTCATGAACGAACCATCATTTTGCAAGCCTTTCTTTGTTGGGGAGGGATGGAAGTTTATGGGCCTCATGGATCAATAGACTGCTATAGAATTGAGACCATTCAACAATGCAGAACGTGGACCCTATCATTCTTGGTGAAGTTGGAAACATGTCTATAAAGGCCCAGGTAGTAAATATTTTTTAGTTTTCTGTTTCATAGGCTTTTTGCAGTTGCTGTACTATTTTCTTAGTTCTTCTGTTGAAATCTGAAAACACCATAAAACAATGCCTAAAGGAATGAACCTTGTGCCTGTGTTATAATTAAACCTTATAAAACCAACCCATGGGTTGTATTTAGCTCACAGGCCACAGTTTGCCAATTCCTGTCTTAGACCATTAAACACAAAATTCTAATTAATTATATGCATGGAGATTTCAACTTCATATTTGGCTTAGCTAATGAAGCCTATTAGGAAGCTGGATATAGAAAAATAAAATCAGAAAAAGTGGAGAAATTTTAGAACTGTGTTTTCCGTTCATTTCTCTGGTATTTATTGTTCCAGAAGCTGATGGAACAATTCTCTGTAGGTTAAATGATTCCCTTTTCATTACTCTGCAATTGACATCATGACTTAGTTTAATTTGGAAGAGGTACACTCTTAGATATTAACTGTACACTTGGCTCTTAGCTTCTTTGCATTTGCTTTTGCTCTGCAGTAGAATGCCCATGCAAGGAAAGTCACAAACTCAGACACTGACTGTTTTGTTTCTGTGTTCCCAGAACTATAGCGGACTTGTGAGACCAAATTTTTCATTACAAGTAGAAGGCAGATAGGATTCTTTTATTTTACTTTAAATTTGTGTCTCTGTATGTATGCATACATGTGGGTTGGATCCCCTGGGACTGGAGTTACAGGAATATATGAGTTGTTTAATGTGAGTGCTGAGAACCAAACTCAGGCCCTCTGGGAGATCAGTAAGTGCTCTTAACCATTAAGCCATTTCTCTATCCTATTTTATTTTTTTGGTGTTTTTGAGACAGGATCTTATGTATCCCACTCTGACCTCAAACTTGCTATGTAGTTGAGGATGACCTTGAATTTACAACCCTATTGCCTCCATCTCCCAAGTGCTGGGATTATAGGTGTCCACCATCACACCTGAGGCGCTGAGGATTGAACCAGGGCTATATGCATATTAGACAATCACTCTACCCATTGGGTTACACCTCCACTCCTACATTTTCAGAAATGTGTCCACCTCATCCATTTACATTTTTGCTTGTTTGTTTTTCCCTAAAGTAATCTGGGGTAGTCTAGGTTTGAAAGTCCTGTTCTCCGGCGGGCTTAGAGGGCTCTGGTTCTC